GTCACTTAACATTAAGTCTTGACACGTAACCATTCAGTCACTTTTTGGAATTGCTAGTCTGACATGTTACCATCCAGTCACTCGTTAGAATTGCTAGTCTGACATGTAACCATTCAGTCACTTGTTAGAATTGCTAGTCTGACATGTTGTTACCATCCAGTCACTTGTTAACATTGATAGTCTCGACATGTAACCATTGAGTCACTTGTTAGAATTGCTAGTCTGACATGTAACCATTCAGTCACTTGTTAGAATTGCTAGTCTGACATGTAATCATTCAGTCACTTGTTAACATTGCTAGTCTGACATGTTGTTACCATCCAGTCACTTGTTAACATTGATAGTCTCGACATGTAACCATTCAGTCACTTGTTAGAATTGCTAGTCTGACATGTAACCATTCAGTCAATTGTTAGAATTGCTAGTCTGACATGTAACCATTCAGTCACTTGTTAACATTGCTAGTCTGACATGTTGTTACCATCCAGTCACTTGTTATCATTGATAGTCTCGACATGTAACCATTCGGTCACTTGTTAGAATTGCTAGTCTGACATGTAACCATTCAGTCAATTGTTAGAATTGCTAGTCTGACATGTAACCATTCAGTCACTTGTTAGAATTGCTAGTCTGACATGTAACCATTCAGTCACTTGTTAGAATTGCTAGTCTGACATGTAATCATTCAGTCACTTGTTAGAATTGCTAGTCTGACATGTTGTTACCATCCAGTCACTTGTTAACGTTGATAGTCTGACATGTTGTAAGCTTTATGTCTCTTTTCTTCTGAAATCGAGTTTGTATAGAAACCTTCCGAGAAGGTTCCCCTCACTGTTCAGGAAGGTTGAGATGCTGTGGGACAAGACCAACTATCTGCTTGGGCAAAAAAATGCAGGAATCAAAAACAAAATTCTGCGTTTACTAACAGGAATCCTCTCACTTTACTATGTACTGTCACAGTTAAAATGTCAAAATCAAAACATTTTTGAGCTACGTGATGTCATATGTCATATTAAGTGTTCAATAGTTCACATACACATTAATAAAAGTTAGTAAAATTAATTTTGCTTAACATTTAAAATGAGGCAATTAAATAGTAGTTAATATACAAATTTGTGTAATGATTCTCATGTACATGTTTTTCAAAACATTAGGATGCTAGGATCATTCAAATGTCACATGTAAAATTTTAGTGCTATCAGATTTATTCAATCCATAAAAAATTGTTTAATGTGCGTTATTTGGTCAAATAAGATGTGTTCATTTCATGAAAATATCATATATGTGCCATTACGTGGACCTATATTAAGGTCGTTCATTTCATGTTATTTGATAGAGCTCTATCAGACCTTTTCATTCGATTAAAATGTCAGATGTGTCTGTCCTATTTGTCCATTTCATAAAACTGTTTTATGTGTCATTGCATTATAATGTCAAATGTGTATCATTGGTCTTAGCATGAATACAATTAAATTGAGTATATTCTATGCTTTTATTTGCAGCATTATTTGAATATGTCAGATCATAGTACACTTCTTTCTAAGTAATTTATACAGGGTTCTATTGTGTAGTAACAATCTTCATAACTCATGCAATGGTTTCAAGCTCCATTTGAATACAAGTGTAAATTACTAGTGTGGGGTTTGCAATATTTATTTGAAATACAAGTGTTCACAATTCCAATTTGAAAACAAGTGTGGGGTTTACAATTTCTATATAGTTTATATGTTTACATTCAAAATGCAAAATGAATGCATTACACACTTTTTATACAAATATCTACTATCTGAGATGAACACTAATAAGTTCTTTTGCTAATTCATTTTTTATGTACTTTTACAGACTCTTCCTGTAGCATATTGTGTGTTAGTTTTATAAAAATTTAAACAATTATTGGCAGCAGTATTTTAATGTAAATATAAATATTTCAAATCAATTAATCGAACAGATTATTCCATAAAAATAAATGTACAAGGCTTGAACTTCACAAAGACAATTTGCCTTGATGTCCAATGAGTTTGCCTTGTTATTCCTATATGCTGAGGTCTATTTATGAATTTTGACCTTGAAAATGGGTGCTCTCTTTTAACTCAAAATTTCAATCCTCGTACATATTACGTTTTCAACAAAGTAAGTGGAATAGTTTCAATGTACATTTTAATACATATTCAAATGTACCAAAATAAAATACTGTCTATGTTATCTTCTATATAATGTCATCAGTAATCAAACTTTGTATTTGCACAAAAAGGTTCTGAATAGGTGATCAGCACAAATCATCAAATTGGAATTTTGACTCTCCACCATCATAACACTTCAAAGTTAATATGAGGTGTGAAAACTCAAGGTCCTGACATATATTTGCAAGAGAAGCCATCACAAAGACTCGGTGTAGACCAGTTTGTTTTGCAGGCCAACCAATCCAAGAGAGAAATGTTATGACCTGCGAAAAGGCCTGTGCAGACTGATCCGGTGATGAATTTTTAAGTGTGCATGCTTCATGCTTCTTTGGATGTACCCAAAGAGAAACCAACCATCCAATCCTTTTCTCACTGGATGCTTATGTTGAGCATGGCTATGGTAGACTGGAACACATTTTGCTAAAATCTAGTATTACAATATTTAATTTTCATAAGCAAAATTTGTTCTAGAACATAATTTTTCAATCTAATTAATTTGCATGTGATCCTGTTGAACATGAAGTAATTTAGTAACAATAATAACTATACCCATTTATACCATTTTATATACATAAAAATCGCATGGCATATAAAACAATAAACTTACCCACATGATTACTGCATTCAGAGGAATGCACTTGGTACAAGCTTGTGGTTGAGAAAAATATATGCTTGAGTGTGTCCCACAAAATACTTGAAGATTTCCCAGAATAGATAAAAAGCAGATTTATTGTCAATGGATCTTTATTCAGCGGTGTACATATCTTACTACATCGCCCGCAAAATTGTGACTAAATATTCATGTATCACTGAGTTATGTTGTTGTTACCAATGCAGTAACGTTAATGTGAGTTGAGATTAGGATGTGTCATTTGAAATACTTAATAGGGATAGTGTATAGACCACCTAATGCAAATGTTGATGATTTCATTTCAAATTTGGCAAATATAATCTTATCATTGTCTGCTCAATATTTCTGGTAGGTGATTTCAAAATTGACGCTTAACTTGATTGAAACACTAGCTTGTTTCAACTTTGAACAGGATTTCTCTTGCCCCACTAAAATTACAAGTACTTTGTCAAGAATTATAGACCACTGTCACAGTGCTGGACAGGGGGTTCTTTCACTGCTAGAATGGGGTAGACAAGACATTTAATATTACTGGAAATAAAAAACACATACCTCAAAATAAAGTTAAAGCACCTGGCTTTAATACCTTTAAATTCACTAAAATAGGGGATTGCCTGTGTGCATTGTAGTCCATCAGCTGGGTCTAAAAAAATAGATTTTGTACTCATCTGGGGTACAATATAATGGGACCGGCTGGAATTGCTGTAAATGGCTTTTATTGGCCCTAAGCATGATAATTTTGTGTGATAGCCTTGTCCAAGATGTAGCTTTGAGTTGTTGCCATGGAAACCAAGTCTGGCAATTAGTGTATACTACTCCATTCCTCATTCCTAAGCTTCTAAAATAAAATTGCCACCCGAAATCATAAAAGCTATGTGAATGTAGAATGCAGATCAGCAATCAAAATTAACATTAGTCATGCTCTTCTTTAATTATGTCAAATTTAATCATAAATATACGAGTTTTATGTATTTTTTTCTGAAAAAATTGTTATGTTATGACGTCTAGAAAATAATAAATCTCAAGCATTCTCAATACCGCACGTCAATAATAATAGTGCACTATGGCAAATACAAATCTGTAATCAGATTTGCAATCAAGTTATATTTCATGGAATTATTGACATTTTAACAACACATCACACGCTTTCCTTGCAGCATATTTTGTTCTTAGTAATGATGTATGTATCTAGCTTCATGTTAATGTTCAAATGATTTAAACTAAAACATCTATACTCCTGGCAGTATTGTATTATCATCAACATAAATAAATAGTAGGTTTCCTTACTTGAGGTATGTGTGTGGGTGGGTCGGGGTGGGGCATCACTGCGGCCATCTTTGATTCATAAATGGCTGCAGGTTCATGATCAAGGCAGCCAAGATCCTTTATAAAGTCACTCTGACAAATTTACAACGTCTACCATGGCCACCATCAGCTTTAGATTTAAAGCCAGACAAAGTTTCTTTGTATGTCCCATCAAAGTTAGACACATTCTATACCACAATCTTGTCAGGCAACATAAATGCATCAGACAGTTCCAGGGTATTAACATTAAATAACTCGTATGCACAGGATGTTGTGTATAGTGTATCCAGAGATGCTATAAGGACACCCAAAAGTGTTCTCTTGCCATCTGTAATAAAAGCATTGTCTAACAATACTGAGGTTCTCAGACTTATCAACTGGTCATTGTGTCTGCTATGATGTCATTGAAGAACTTGACACTGCGCATGTTCTACAAGTAATAAATAAGCGGAGAGAGAGAGAGAGAGTGAAGTAATTATACCTGAGAACATTCCCTGTGCCAAAGAATCAGAATAAGAAGTTGCTCTTGTAGTGTCTGACAACATTGATAATCTGGAGGCTACATTGAGTGGCAGTTGGATCTCACGTAGGGTAAATTCTATTCTTATCTGGAAGAACAGGCCAGGTGTCAGACCAAGATAATAACATAACATAGAGCCACGACCAAAGCGACGTAGAATGTTACCAGCAGATGTGGTCATGCAAGACGTCCCGAGTATCATGGAGGGAAAAGAACTGGGCCAGGAAAATTACAAAATGAGCTGGACTTGGATATAGTAATTCTGATGATGAGAAGCACAGAAGACAAAATTTAGTGTACCTGATATAGTTGTCATAACATAGATTTGTAAGCCATCCTAATTAACTTGTCTCTGTTTGGACAGGATTTAATATCACAGTTAGAAGTAATATTGTTGTGGTGAAGAGCCTCATCGGCTATTTGGATACTATTGACAGTCCAGCTACTGATCCAAAGACAGCATATGAAGTTCTTTGCAGAGCATGTTCTATTAGAGATAAGGTCAATCTCTCAGCTGTTGTGTGTTTGACCTGGCATTTTATGCAAAGGCAATTGAAATCTTTTGGAAAATTAAGGAGAAATTCAAAGGTCTGGTCTTGATGTTGGGTGGGTTTCACCTGTTGATGATACTACATGGTATCATTGGTGTACAGTTTGGGGATGCTGGTCTTAAGGAGATTGCTATTCAGGGTGGTGTTATTGCAGAGGGATCATTAGACAGAACACTGGCTGGGAAGAACTACAATAGAGCAATTCGTTTGCATACAATAACATATGGAGCTCTCATGAGGTTACTGTTAGATGCATTTGAAAATTCAATTTCTGATGAAGATAATGATATCCTGCAATAGTATAACAACGTGATAGAGGAATTGAAGTTAGACATGTGAATTAGAATTAGAAAAGTGGCAGGGGTTACTTGGAGTATACCCTAATGACATTGAGAAGAATGGTGGGAATGAATGTCATATCTTGAATTATGTAAGCTTACTCTCAACTTGATATTTATTGCTGAATTAATACCATGGGCATTTGCTTATGACAGGCAAAATTATGCAAGGTACATGATTCCATTCTTCAATGGCATGCGAGAATTGCCAACATCAATGACTGCAGTCCACAATGCATTTCAGAATGGGGAGTTTTATGTTCAAATCAGTGAAACAAATCCATTTGGTGGGACTGAAGCAGACAAGACGATTGAGAACACTATTAATCGGGATTGTAAGACAAGTAGTGGATACATTGGTTTTAGTGTAAACTTCTCAGCAACACAAAGGTGGGTACACAATGCAACTCGTCGGGGTGAACACAAGAGGATCCTGAAAGAACACCTATCCATTAAACCACAGACATATGTTCACAAGGAACTAGCCCCATCACATATCCAGAATGATATTAAAGCTGTAGAACGTGTAGTGGATGTTCTTGAAGGAGTATTACGTAATCCATGGATAGGGGGAGAGTTAACAAGTTTATCCACTGGAATTGAGGCATCAGGAAGTGTTCTTGGCCACTTACTCAAAGCCAAAAAGTATGGACAGGATGCATGCTAGAATTTTATCAGTAACCGTTGGTCATTTGATGAATTCTTTGCTCCACTTCGAAAGATAAAACTAAAAACGTTTGAAGATGTAACACACAGAGTTAAAATGGCAACCAAAGGTAAAATAATTCCACTGAATTCCACTGCTAGAATGGCATTGTTACCGAACAATTGGTCTTAAAACAGACTTCACTTTTACACTTGGACCTCTGCCTTGGTCTTTGGCTGATGCCTACAGTCTGCCAAGGAAAACATGGTCCAGCTTTTAAATCATGAGAATCCTGTATGTATATATGATGGTGTGGCTACAGAAGTTTAAGCCACCGGCATGTGCCACATTCCATGTTTTGGCTCTACAGATTTTTGAAATTGTGATGAGCAATCCGTGTAACAGAGTTGACTTGGTATTTGATGTCTATAAAGAATTGTCTATCAAAAATGCAGAGAGAGGGAAGAGATCTATCAGCACAAACCTAACATCTAGTACAATTTATAAAAATGTACTTGCAGGATATCCAATTAAATCGTGACATAACTTTCCACAAGACTCCTCTAATAAGACGGAAGTGAGTAAATTCTGTTCTTACAATGGCAAACAGAGGAATTCTTGAAGAAATTGGGAATGTTGTTCACAATATCTGGTACTACATGTTTGAAACTGTGTGCGACTGGAGCAGAGCCTGTTCCAGAGCTAACATCTACACATGAAGAGGCAGACACCAGAATCATTCTACATGCCAAGCATGCATCGCAAACAAAGAAACCAATTGTTAGCCAAACAGATGGCACTGATGTGTTTATTCTGTTAATCGCCCACAGTAGTAGTATAAAAGAAAGATGTTCATGAAAGTTGGTAAAGGAACAAGACAATGAATAATCCAAATCGATGCAATCATTAATAAGATAAAGAGCACCTGCAAGGAAGTGAATGTCAAAGATTTGCTGAAATCCCTCATTGGGTTTCATGCAATCACTGGATGTGACACAGTTTCAGCTTTATGTGGAAAAGGGAAGCTGGAACCTTTGAAACTGGACTTGAGAACACCAAAGTATGTAGAAGCTTTGAAGGAGATTGGAAATAGGTTGAATGTTGCAGATGATACATATGCAAGCATAGAAGAAATGGTATGTGAAATGTATGGAAAGAAGATGGTAGATGTAAATTCACTGAGATACCAACTGCATTGTGCAACAGGTGGCAAGGTGGAACCTGAAGCGTTGCCTCCATGCCAATCATCATTAAAACTACATGTTCAACGAGCCAACTATCAGGCTGCTATATGGAAGAGGTCATTGGTGGTATATCCTAAAATTCCCACACCTCAAAACACGGATGGGAAGTCAATGGCACCGAGATAGCTGTAAAGTGGCTAGTAGTCCAGCTCCAGGTGAGATTTTAGAATTTCTTTCATGTGACTGTAAAAGAAAGTGCACATTGCAATCATGTTGCTGTCTTAGAGCCGGATTGAAATACACGGACATGTGTAGGATAGAATGTGAAGATATGTCTTCAGAAGAATAATTTGATGTCAACATAGTGAAGACGAAGATGAAGACAATATAAATGATTGATATTACAAGAAGCATGCAACTGATAATGTTAGCATCTGCCACTGCAGAAATTTGCATTGGTATTTCTGTTGATTACGAGCCTTTTGGCAGTTTTGTTTTTCTATTGAATTAAGCAAGGTTGCTTTTTTGTACATGCACTTTAAAATTGCAGGATTACTCAGTTTTTAAACAGGTATTTCAGAGTGTAACATTCTGTATTTTAGTTTCTCTACACTTACCTCTTTAGATTTTTTTTCTAAGTGTGGCTACATGTTCTGAGTAGTTTGTTCATTATAGCTAATAAAAGTACATGCGCATAACACAGGTTCATTTTTTTCTTGTAAGAATCTGGTAACATTTTGAAGAATACGACTAAAAGGAAGAATCATTGTAACGACGCAAAACTTGTATTATATATAATATAACCATGCAAGCAGAACAGTTTTAACAATAGTAGTTGAAATGCGCAGTTTTCTATGTTTTTGTGCAAGAAAATCATTATTGAACAAAAAACGTCTTGAAATTAATGTTTCACTATATGGCAAGGCCGCCATTTTGAATTTACCAATAACTCCCTGCACATTTTAATATGCAAATTAACCTTAAAATTAAGCTAATTTTATTGGCGGTCAAATAAAAACATTTTTAGCTCAAGATGTGTATCCATATGCAGCAATGATTAGGACTTCTTGCCAACCTTTGACAAGGATTATCCTGAACGCAGCTCTCTCAACTACTAATTAAAACTTTATGGAAAGCTACTATTTGGCAATGGCTATCATACTTTTTATGCTAGAAAGTGTCTAAGGATAATTTTAGAAATTGTTTCACTCTGCTTGCAGAGTAACGCTGTTATTCTGGGGGCACAGCTGAAAGCAGAAGATCATATAAGTCTTACATAATGATGGTTGAAGCCTGTATCATTTCTCTCACAATATCGCAGCAACAACACACGAGGTACTTAGTTGAAATGATGGACCCTAACTGTCCTCCTCAGTCTAGCCTTTAATAGGCATATATGGCCCACCAGTCAGAATGTGGTCTTGCTAGCAACTGTCTCACGTAGGCAAGTCAGTAGATCATAGCCTTTGTTATATGAATCACAAACACACCTGGTAGATTCAACTGTCCTTCCAGAGTTATAAACAAGTATGACCTGTCAATCACCTTACGATAGTTATCACACTGCAATGCACACTGTTTCTTCCCATGATTTCATGAACAGAATCCTAGGACCAGGATGTACATTTGGCTTATTCAAAATTGTCCGTAGTCAAAAAGTCAATCAAAACTATAAGTATAAATTATTTGGAAAAAAATCATAAACATAATTTACATGAAGCAATATTTGTGGTAAAGTCATATATTTGAACATAATATTCTTTATAAAATCAGATGTCCAGCAGTCAGACACGACACAGACTTATTAGTGTAGAACTAATTGTTTATTTGAATGTGAACATAACATAGAAAAGCCCTGAATCATGTACATCGGGCCCTCGTGGGGATTCTGAACTTGAGCGGGAAACTTTGATACAAATACACAATACTGTGATTGGTCAAAAAAAAATATGTGGTATTGCCTCTCATGTTCGCACATAATAGCAAGGTGTTCAAGGCCTTATCCTGTTTTGTTACATTCAGTGATCTATTCTTGGCTCTTCACTTCTCTTAATTTATATATAGATGTCGACATCTATACTGCAACATCTACAATGCAGCGTCAACATCTACATTGCCCAGTGAACATCTGCACAATCAACATCTATACTGCACAGTCAACATCTACATTGTACAGTCAACATCTACCCTGCACACTCGACATCTATACTGCACAGTGAACATCTACACTGCACTGTCAACATCTACACTGCATGTTTGACATCTACATTGTACAGTCAACATCTAAACTGTACGTTCGACATCTATACTGTACAGTCAACATCTACACTGCACAGTTAACATATATACTGTACAGTCAACATCTACATTGTACAGTCAACATCGATACTGCACAATCAACATCTACACTGCACAGTTGACATATACA